AAAAAATATATCAAAGGAAAGGAGAGCATAGAAGAACCAAATATCATTGTGGAGCTCATAGAGAAATTAAAGAAAATAAAACGACAAGGGAATCCACAACTCCGACTTCTTAGTCTCAATCTAAAATTGAAGACAATATGATAAAAATGTTATATTATAGGCAGTGAAATTCTTCTAAGACGTGCAACTCCATTAGTACTAGATGCATAAAATTTGCTGCTAAAAAGTAATTGTTATGTCGATGCCATTTGATGCACCACCAACAGATTTTCACATCCGACACAAATCTCGAGACATGACACAGATCCCGAGATGACACAGATCCCGAGATGATAAGATCCCGAGATGATATTTTAAGCAAGAAACGTTCAAATCTTGATAAAAATTCATCCAGAGTTCTGTTTTCAGCAAACTTAAAGTCAAACTGCCCGGTTCGATGAGACAGACCTAATGATATAAAAACTAGTTCAATCCGAGTCAAATCAAGCCCAGATCAAGTCGTTAAACCACCGTTAGAAGATTTTTGTACACATTTAGAAGGTCAAACAGATGACCACACTAGCAAGCTTATACTCGAATCGAGCATCTCGACAAGAAAAATCCAACGAGCCCAAGATCACTCAATTCCGACATCGTTAAGGCACTCAAACGTCCATTAAATACCGCATGATCGAGAGAAACTCTCTGGACTGTCCGATCAAAATGGTTGATATTCTTGCATTAATTGCACCCAGAACACCACAAATAGACCCCCACCCCTCACATGAGAGGGGGCCGGAGTCTAGAGAGAGCCTGAGGTATTGAGGAGAAGCTACAGCTCAGCATCACCGACCTCCGTCGTTGACCACCGCTGACCGTTGTTGACCATCGCCGACTGATGACGACCACCGTCGATCATCGTCGACCACCGCCAATCGTCGTCGACCTCCGCTAACCGTCATTGACCACCACTAACCACCATAAATCACCACCAACCAGACGCTTTCAGCGACGTTGTAATCTAAAAAATATATTTATCATTTCCCGTTTGTGGGACAAAGGATTTCTGTAATCATCGATCAATAGTAGATTTCCGCAACTGTGTCAGGCCTCGTGGTTTTTCCCTTACCAATGTTCTACGTAAAAACTTCTGGAGTCATCATCTCTTGTTTCTCTTTCATCTGTGTGTGTGCTGAACTTTCGTACAACGCTAAGACGATAGTCTGTTACTCTACAGCCGCGAATTTTCTAGCACGCATCACCATTATTGTCGATTAGTGCCCACTCATTCTTATCTCAATTCTTGCTAGCGATTTTCTTTCTTTAATTTATCTCATTTTTCATGTTTGCATGTACTTTTTAGGGTGCACTCCTTTTTTATTTAATTATCATTGAATGATGAGTATGTATATAATTCATATATTCGTGCATGTGTGGATGTGTGTGTGTATCTTCCAAAGAGTCCTGGCTCAAGTTGTATACTTTTTGGTTTCTAATTTAGACGTCTCAAGTATCAGTATTACCAAATCCTATTATGATGAATTTCTCTACTTCACAAAAAATTAAGGTCAATAATTGGCAATGCGCTCATATTATTTATAATTATCCTGCGTGCCTTGTGTCCATTATATATATATATATATATATATATATATATAATAAAAATTGCCTAAAAAATTTAATACACATAAATAGATAAGCTTCTAAATAATAATTTATAATGATTTTATGTGCTAAATTGAACTACAAGTATACTTTCAAATATTTATTTATTTATTCATTTTAATTACAAATAATTATACATTCATATAGGTAGACACACGCAAATTAAATAAAAAATTGCAACATTAATATTTTTTTTTTTATTCATATTCAAGTTTCATAATCATCTTGAATTTATTCCATTATCAAAATAACAAATATCTAGAAACTAAACAAACATATATCTATTATACAACATATTATTTTTTTGTTCATACCCCTACTCTTTCCACATATAATGAATCTAAAGTAATTAGGCATGGCTCAAAACTTCCATGATCTATGATGTAATATTAATTTAAAGTGGGCTATTAATTAGAAATAGCATACAACCAACTTGGAGGACCCTAACCAATAAACATTCATTGATGATTAAAATAGAAAGATAAGTTTATGCATATGTTTAAATTATGATTATCTTAAACCTAGTGGTGCACATGCAAATGACAAAGAGAGAGGAGACAGAGCTGAGAGCTAAAGAAAAAAAAAAATTTTAATTTAAAAAAATAAAAATAAAAAACAACAACTAAATATAAAATAAAAAGTAAGAAAAAGGTTCCTATCATCTTAGTTGTTTGTTCACTCCATGTGCACTCATGTGGTGGGTTGCCTTTGTTGGACCCACCTCTCCTATCTCTCACCCCCCCCTTCACCAGCTAAACCTGACATCCTCTTCCTTCTTCCTCCTTCAGAACTCAGACCTTCTGTTAAGGGAAACCCAATCCCCTAATCACAGCCGTTGGATCAGAAAATTTGATTTTTATATATTATTCAGC